AGAGTCCCTGTGATGTCGGCATGTCATCATATCATTTCCCACCGTTGTGCGTTCTTCAGCTGCAGGTGTTTATGCCTCCAACCATCGCTGGCTCCAGCTTGGGACTTTGAAACTCTACTGCCCACGGCCACAGCGGACTTCTTGCCACTCCCCGACCCCGGCCCCGCCTAGGCGACAAGCTTGCGACGGATCGCATCTACCTGCTGCTCCGCTCAACATGCTTTTGACGACCCCTTCCTTTTTCACGATGCTCTTGAATCTTCGGTGCTTCTTGCTTTGTCCCATCTCAGGATCGACAATGGCATTAGCTTGCGCCTCTATGTGAGGGGCTTAACTGGTATGCTTCGTTGTGGTGGCTCATCATCTGCACCCTGTGCAGTTTGGCATTCCAAGGTCAGGCCTGAGGTTTGTCAAGAGACGCTGTACCAAGTGCAGCTCAGCAAGAATAAAGACCAGGGGTTGGGGCAGGGTAGAGCTTTGCGAGGGCTGCTGGAGCCGACAATGCTGACAAGGTTTGGAGCAGAAACGCTGCAAGACGTCGCAACGATTCTTTCGGCTCCAGAGGCACTGAATTGTGTTTGTTGAGAAGCCTCCTTCGTCACAACATCATACCGCGTGTGACGCCTGAATGTTGAGAGCGGCACATGGAGGCTTATGTGGACTCTCTCAGCGAGGATGCTGAGAGAATGCTGTCATGCGTGCAGCAAATCAGGAGGGAAAGATGGAGGCCGGGTCGTTTTGCGTCATAAGACTGACGAAACATGATGGGCGTTGCGAGACCGTCGAACTCACTGTCGTGAACGAACGTCTTTGCAGTTAACGGTTTGCATAGATCCAAGGCTGCCCTGGCAGTCCTTCCACGTTGTGCTTCCGGGTACACCAGAAGAGCTCCGACCCAAGCTGCTAACTTTGCAGAGCTGTGAAGGAACGGGCACGTCTGTCTTTCAGGTCCCGTGTCCTCGCCTCCCTTGCAGAAGACCGTGCTGGTTCTGAGTCCACCTACGTCGGGCTCAAAGACGGCACTCTTGGAATGACTTCGCAGTGAGAACGGAATTGGCGAGAGATGGATCAAGAGATTTGTATCTGAAGGTCGATTTCCTCTGCCACATCCACAAGCTTGTTCAAAACAAGCAGGATTGAGAACAGGCCCAAGTGAGTCATGTGATGTCGTACCAGCTTCGGCAGTTTGGATCGCCGTGCCCAGGCCGACAAACCCGCTAGCTCGTTGCTGCTTTGATGAACAAATATCAGGCATTTTCAGCCGGATGAAGGTTTGGAATCTGGCACGTGAATTCAGGTGGCGGATGGTCATTCAATGACGAAGTAGAAGTTATGATACGTTGTGAAACCAGCAGAGCTTCGTTCTGCCACAGGGCTGAGATGTGGAGGCCATCCGCGAGAGACAAAGCCTGCTGCTCAAGTTTTTAAAACCCTTGGGGACGACGGACCGAGCTCTCGAAGCAAGATCAGCAGCAAGGGTGAGGCATAGCAAGGCAGCAAGCCGTCCAAGTCTCAGTCGCCGACGTCACCACCTTTGCGGGTACACGGTGCCAGCCACCTGGGCAGCACTTGCTACCTGAGCAGCGCAGAGTGAAAACACTCGATTTTCAGGCTTGCAGTCGTTGCAGTCGATTGTGTGTACAGCGCCTGACTGCACTTTGCTAACCTGGGCTGACCTATGCTGAGTCAAGCGCAGTCCAGCCATAGGCAACTAGCCGGCAGCAGTACACTTCAGAATCGCAAGTGCTTCCCCTTTCCCCTGACCTTCCTGTGTCTTGTCAATTCGCCGGCAGTTGCAGTCTAAGTCTCACTTCTCGACCGTATACGTTTTGAGTTCCTGCGGCTTCAGGGCCTTCAAAGGCGGCGCCGCACAGCGCAGGCACAGAGGGAGGACTTCCCGGCAGCTTGGCTGCTCATGGGGCCATGGGGCCAAGCTACGCCGAAGAATAGGGTGAAGCTGCGGGCTGTTGGTTACCCAAGGTTAAGCATGTAATGCCTGAAGTCCGCAAAACTGAGGCATAACAGTGGTGCATCGTGGAAAAGCTGGCAGCACCAGATGCAGCTGTTCTGGGTAAGTCGAGGTGATGGTCAGCGAAGCAGCCTGGTTGGCAATGCATGAACTCACCGGTTGCTGCTTGATCGCAGGTACGAGCGAAGTACTGAGCTCGAATTTCGAGATGCATCTGAAGTTGTGAACCGGCACGTAGTGGCTTGGCAGCGGTCCAGCTAGCTGCGGATGAACGTGTGGCTGTCACTTAGCATTGGAACCGACACGTCGTTGTGCCAGGTCTGGGTGGCTTTGTTCATCATGGTGCTGGGCTGAGAACCTCCAAATTCTTTGCTTGCGCCTTCATGCAGATGCCGAATTCGTCTGAGGCCATGGAAGGGGGGCTAGTCATGTGGCAGGTTGGGCACCTGAGGGAATTCTTCAGGCGTGGCCCTCAGTGTTGCAGCTTCAGTGACAAAGATGCCGTGTGCTGCAAGACCGAGGCGTGAAAAGCTGATCGTATAGGCCGAAAAGGTGTTAATGGAAACAGGTCGGGCCAGCTGTGCCGGAGCGACCTGCTGTGCCAAACAGGCTTGGTGCGCGTTTCGGGACTGAAAACGGGGCCTGTAGTATTGCAGATGCACTTGTCAGTCAAGCTTTTGGAAGCTTCGCTGTCTTCCACATCAGTAACATAAATCAGCTGTTGCGAGTGGCATTCTGCAGAGCACGGCTGAACCGCGGTGCAAGTAGCAGACACCATTCCTGTAGCTCCGAACGAGGACGCGTAGCAGCAAATTACTGGTCATGGTCGACACGGCTTGAAATAGGTCACTCAAGCGTCGCCGAACATGGTAATCCAATAGCCCATGGTGGTGCCAGCGATTTTGGCGGCTGGCGATGACTGACTCTGCAACGGATTTTCGATACTTGAGCGAAGAGGAAGCCGATTTTCACCACGGGAGCTGGCTTCCGCAGCAGCTTCGTTTTTTCCAGGATGCAGACCGCGCACTGACGTCTGATGTGTGCCGACGATGGGCAGGTCGCAGAACACATGCACCACGGCTCTCGCGCTCCATCCCGCCAGACTTTATGCCTTTCAACAGGACACTCGGCCTGGCAAACGTCGGTGCTCCTAAATACCACCATCTCATCAGCAATGCAATCGTTGATTTGACAACAATCGCGCTCACACTGCGCCTATTCTGTGCGTCTTATGCGCTTCAATGTGCCGAACTTCTTGCACACTGGCGAGCGGCCTGGTGCCTGATGCTTAGAAGACTCGGCAAAGCTACAAGGCCAGTTGTGTCACTTCGGTTATGCCAAAACCTTGCGTGCTTTTGATGCAGAAAGCAACTTCTGGAAGCCGTGTCACCGGGGTTGCCATGTTCTTTTCACGCATTTGCACCTGCTCGCCAGAGCTCATCTGCATGATGCAAGCACCCACCCCGGCAAGCAGGCAATAATAATCAAGTCAGTGCAACCTCAATGCTGGAAGACGGCCACACCCGGCGTGCACGATGTGCTGTTCCTGAGAAGTTAGCAGCATTTGCTAATGCACAATTGCTCAGCCGGCACCAGTCTGGTAATTTCTCTTCCTGTCGCGGGAATGCATTCCAAGCCGGAAACATGAACAAAGTTGGTTGCAGGGACCGAGGAACCGGACACCAGTAGCGAAGATCCAAGAGCCCGACAAGCCCTTCAGCCCAGCAAACCCTCGACAGTTCAAGCCTAAAACGCAAGTTACTGTGTCAGCTGCCTGAGCCGAGTCGTTGGCCGCCAGACACGCTCGCCTGCAGGTGGCTCGGTGCAGCTACAGCTTTCCTCCCAAGAGCTGGGAGGGTCCGCACGGCCTTCGGAACGAGCACCGCGGCTTTGATCACGCAAGCTTTGCCCCGTGACCTTGTGTTCCCGCTGAGCTGTCTCGCCACGGGAAAAGCTGACATCCTGACTGCGCTGGCAGCTGTTGACAATGTAACTATCACATTCACCGAGTATTTCGAGGCCGCAACTCTTCTCGGCGACGAGGTGATACAATTCGGCAGGACTCGTGTTAAGCGAGCAGAGTTTCATGGAGAAGCTCCGAACCGGTTTGCACCTGAGGGAATCCAACACCGTGCTGCCGTCCTGCTTTGGGCATTGGCGCACCGTCCCACAGGTTCCGTTCCTTCTGCACTAGCGCCGCAAGTGGTGGAAGTTGGGGTCAACCGGGCGGAATGCTCTGCTAGGCTGCTTTCGTCTCATCCAAAGCTCAATTGGTTGGGGGTTGATCTGTACGTGGCTGTTGACCGAGATCCCATCAAAGGAGGCTCCGAACTTGGCGAAGCACGTTTGGCACTCGCACCTTGGCTTGGTACACGGGCACAGCTCACAGTGGACCACAGCACTGCGGCAGCAAAGTCCTGGAGGGGTCTCCGGGAATTTGATTTGGCATTCCTTGATGCAGATCATGAAGAGCACTCTGTGAGACGGGATATTCAAGCCTGGAGCTCTCTCGTCCGTGAAGGCGGCATCATCGCGGGCCATGATTATGCTCGCATTTGGCCGGGGGTTGTAGCATCTGCGCACGGAAGCCTGCCACCAAATACCACACTTCATCTAGCGCCGGACATGGTCTTCTGGTGGTACAAACAGGTTGCCCCAGCCGCGATGCAGAGACAAGTCACTTCCCAGAAGTGTCTGCTTTGTACTACTGGGAATTACAATGCATCTGCATATGATGCGTGTGACCGTTGAAAATTTGCGATGTATGCATTCGGCTTCACTACAGTAGGATGAACCTACAAACCCGCACAAAAAGTTCTCTTTACCAGCCTAGACAGCCTAGCTCATGCCAACTTGACTGTGGCATCTGTAGATTCAGTGATAAGCGCAGGCTTTAAAGCCGTTCCCGCCATGTAGCGACGCCGACACCTCTGACGATGCGCGCGAGGCTGCAGCAATCTGGATTTCTGGGCTGGGAGGGCATGACAGTTAGTCACGTGCAGGAGCAGCGCCGCATCGCGTTCTCGTCTACATGACAGGGCAAAGGAAGGCATGTGCACAGAAAAAGCCGCACTTGCTCCCGCAAACTCTGAACTTCCAAGCCTGTACAGGTACAGGATACTGACGAAGGCCGCGACAAGAGATGGCTGAGCAGTGACTAGAGAATCCGAATGGCAGGGGCGCTTGTGCTCGGTGTTGACCTCCAATCGCTCGATGTCGACTCTCTTTTGGGGCCTTTGGCCGGAAGGTCTCGACACCAGACTGCCACCATGTTGTTGCACGTTCCGGGGTTCTGACTTCGTGGCAGGGGGTCGCGAAGTTTGGGCTTCCGGCACCTTCACTGCATCATGTTGACTTTGAAGACGTCGCTGAGACTTGCCGTGTGAATGTCAGGCAAAGGCCGCCGCGTGTTGGCGTAGAAGGCTTAAGGCCAGGCAGTTCACCTAGCAAGGCAGCTGCAGCCATAGCACTGTCAGGGCTGATGAAGTCATCTCCGCACAGAAGAAAGCATTGGACCAGCCTGGATCCTGGCTTGCTGCCGTTAGGCATCCTTGTCGCTCGGATCTTTTTGCCACAAACACTCATAAAGTTAAGCTCCCCAAGGCCCGCGCCGGCGCAGACGTTGAAGGCCAAGGTGGTGCTTTCTGGCGCGTCATTGCCGCCGTGGCGGCCCATGCACGGCTGCGGTTGACTCGCGAGGCTGCAAACTGCTTGGCACACGGACCGGCTCTGGTGGGCGGCAAATGTGGAGAGCGCATGTACTTCATTGTGTTCGCCTCAGTTTTGTCTCACCCCATCATATTGTTGCTTCTCGAAGCATCGTTGTGGTCTCGTATTGCTCTCTCGCTCTTTGCTTCTCTGGCTACGTGGCTAGATGTGCAGGTGACGACGGTGACTTCAGACGGCCAGGCGTAGCTCTCGGAAATGTCCCTTATTCAGCATGATTCAGCATGCTTTGCGTTGCCGAGCAACCTGTAGGTCATGAAAGAAGGAGGAGCGTCCGTCACTTGCACAGTGCAGGAACCTTAGCCTTGCATTGCTTCCCGCGAGAGCATGAGTGAGCCGGCTCCATTCCAGGTCCCAGAGCAATCCTTCAGGTTGAGATCTGTTTATCAGTCAGTGAACACTGCTTGTCCCAGCTACTTTGAACAGTAAAGGATCGACAGTTCTGCAGTGTCCAAAGGGGCGGGACTTCAGAAATCAGTTCCAGTGGTTTACCAGTATCGCAGTGACGAAGATCCAAGCCCGGACTGTCTGAGGACCGGCCGAAGCCTGATGTCCAAAACTCAACCCGAGCCACGACCTTTTGTGGAAGACCGTCAGGCAGAGTGCGGTCTCAACACGATCGGTGCAGAGTCCACGCAATTGTCTGCATCTGCTCAGGATGGCACTTACCACATCCAATTCGTTTGCGCCACGCCTGGGGTCTATGAGATCACAGCCTGCGTAGATGGCGTCGCTTTGCCCATGTGTCAGATCCTTGGGCAGCACCCCCGAACAAGTCGCATGCCATCTAAAGAAAACTAGAACATCGCCACCGAGGTCCCGTTGCGGTGACCGTCGCGTGCTGCACTCGGAGCCTCTTCGTTCAGGGCTTCGCTGCCTTTCTACGAGTACGGATTCCCGTGCTTTCAGGCCTGGCCCACCCAGCGCGACCACGACACAGGCAGAAGGGAATGGCACTGACACACGTTGCGAGTTGTGCAAGCAGGTTCGTGGCGATGGGTCGCAGCGCTGCACGCTTGGTGGTTCCGCAGAGTTCACGATACAGGCGAAACTACGAGGAAGTCTCAGCTGCTCACCCTTGAGCTTTGTTTAAATGAAAAAGAACTTAAAACTACGCTTAGCAGTGCTGTGACACGGCTGGGTTATGCAGGCGATGGACGAGTTCGGGAACCTGTGCGGAGAGGGTGGAGCCCGTTCCGGCCTCCAAGCCAAAATGCCGATGAAGAGTTGCAAGCGGCAATCGGAAGTCAGGCTTCGGCGTCCGTGCAAGCGCACATGTGCGTCTGCATGAAGTCTCCGACAATGAGGCCAAGATACATTGTTGAATTGGAGACGCGCTTTTGTAGCAGCACCAGTTCCTCGACCTTGCAAGCGTCGTATCCTGCATTGGCGAAGTGTGTGTCAAGCTTCTGAGGGCTCGCAAGCTGCTTGTGTGGAAGGATGGCACGTACACTGTGAGCTACTCCATTCCCGACTGGGCCCAAGGGCCCGTGAAGCTGGAGGTGGGCCGGAACGTCGCCTCGCTTCGTTCTTTGAGGTTCTGTTGGTACACTCGGAATCGGAAGGTGCTGCTGGATGGTCATCCTATAAGAGGTTCTCCACTGGTGCCACGACTCATAGGCCGGAGCAGTAGAATCCGACAAGAGATGCAAGACGGTCTTGCTGCAGGCTTCGTGCCAGAGAAGGCAGATCCGAAAGCCAAGAGCAAGGCATTGCAAGGCCGAGTCCAGAAGGGAGCTGGGGGCACTTTCACCGATCAACTTCCGCCAGTAGCTCGGCAATTGGACCGAGAGACATCGGAACTTTCCGTTGTACTGCCACATGTGTTCGCAGCCGTTTGTCAGACAGGCTGTTCTTCTTGTTGGTACGCAGTGCCCTGTGCAGATAGGATTGCTTTGATGTTCTGCCTCGGTAGACGCCATGGTGGTGTCAGAGAGCCGCGTGCCCTGCCTCGTTGCTTGCCATATCTGCTCTCGGGAGTTCGGAGCCGCCAGGGCCCTACTAGTTGGCAATTGCCTACAAAGAGCCACTAGCGACGTCTGGTTCTCAAGATGGTGAGATTCTGAGACTGCATAGTCGCAGGCCTCCATCGACGTGCACCTTGAGCAATGCATCAAAAAATGGGAGGACGCGCAACAACTGAAGCCAAGACAGCATCGGGAATCTGTGCCAGAATGCCCCAACCTCGCGCCGGAGATGACACAAGCAGATTTCAACCAGGCAACCAACTAAGCGGTGTTCTATCATCAGCTCTGCTCAGTGTAGTGTTGTAGGGCGAATGCAGGTTACACCGTGAGGCTTTGACTTCAGTCGTTGAAGCACAATCTTGACGACAAGGTCGTCAGAGCTCGATTTCGGAGGCGATGTGCTCACTGTGGCAAGGCCATGCATATTGACCAGCTGCCAGCTCACCTGCGGAGCTGCCCTGAAGCACCTGTTCCGCAAGCTCCAAGTGCACCTCGGCCAACGAAAAGCATGTCAGCAAGATTCAGTAAGCCCGCTTTGTGTTTCGTTTGGACAGGCAACAGAGGTTCAAGTCGCATCTGCAGTTTGCCTCGCCCTGTTGGCAGGCTCAATGAAACTGTCTCGGGTTGCTTTCAGAGGCTCAAGGCCTTCAGGTCACATAACTTTTATGCCCCCGTAGCGTTCCGACTGTGCCCAAGCCTGGCTGCTTGCCGAGGTGCAGGTTGTCTGCCAGGGTTGTGGACGTGCTTTTCCCGATGATCACAGCTTGCAACAGCATTTGGAAGTCTGTGGCTTGGAGATCCCGGGAGAAGAGACCCAAGTTGTCAAGATGCCAATGCCGTTCCACATGACCTGCCACCTATGCGGATGCAACTTTGGAAGTAAGTCCTTTGACCTTGGCTCAGCTTACACGGTCGTAGGATCGCAGCGACGCGAGTCACCTGCACTCTCAATCTCGGATAGTTTGCTCAGGAAATCCATGTCCAATACTGCCAGCAGAAGTGGCAGATGCAGGAGAAGCTTAAGGAAGGTGATCAGCGGCGTCCCCTTCCGAGCCCACCTGCCTGGACGCCGAACATGACTCAGGAGCTGGTCTTTCAAAACGGCATCTGCAGCACCGTACCGCTGTACACGTTGCTGTTACAGGAGCAGTACAATGAAGCGGCACGGGTGGCGGCCTCAAGTCGACTCAGCAAACTCCCGCGAAACTTGCGGCTGCCCCGATGCAGTCCGAGGAAATCTGCATCAAAGAGGCGCAACTTCGAGGACTCCAAGACCTCAATGCTGCTCCTTTGCCCACAAGCACCTGTCGCAGAAGGAAGCCCAAGTCCGTCACATGCGACACTTGTGGACGCGAGTTTACTGAAGCGTCCATTAACCTGCACCGTCGCAAGTGCACAAAGCTACAGCAAGAGCGGAAGACACACTGCGACGACGAACGGAGAGTTGACTTTGATAGCCCAGAGAGATCTCCACGAGCGAAAAGCTACGATCCAGCCGGGCAAGCTGAAGCTTGGGTTGTACGCAGCCAGAGTGCTGATGCAGTGAAACGTCAGAGACCCCAGACGCCGAAGACTGTGCCCTGCCAATTCTGTGGGAAGGACTTTCTCTACACATCCATAAAGGTCCACCAGAGCCAGTGCGGACAGCGTCAGACTATAGGCCATGTTCACCTGAAGCGGGAGAACTCCCAGAGATTGAAGGCTACACTCAGAAGTCGAGATTCTACGCCCCGAGGCAGCAATGCCGGAAGCAGGGTGTGAACATGTGGGGAGTGTTCATGCTTGTTCTGAAGTTGTTTTGCAGAGCGCCGAAGTGCAAATTGTCTCGCAAAGGGTTTGTCGATGTTGCCGGCTTCAGATTGGGCTAGTTTTTGTTTGTGCTTCGTTGAAGGCATGGCGCACGTACACGACCTTCAAGTACCAGTCGACAGCAGTATTCAGTGAAACACTCCAGATTTCTGCTTGCACCTGCTTTTCTGCAGGAGTTGGTGGCACGAATTCTGCATGTCGTTACAAGGGCGTTTTGAATGACATAAAACGAATAGTTGACATGGACAAGTAGAAGCGTTGCTCACCCGTTTTGGCCTGTTCCAGAGCATCAACGTACCACTTCGCCGGATTTGCAGTTCGCAGCAGTCACGAAAGTCTCACTCCAGGTGTAGGGGCTGTTGACGTTTGGAGAAGCCCTGGGAGGCAAGACACCATCTCCAGATTCCATCCCAGCTCCGGCGCTGAAGCGGTTTGCAAAGTTTGTGACCTGTCATGTGTGCGGACAGCTCTTTGGAACGAAATCCATCCACTGCCACGTCCCTCGGTGTCAGAAGCTCCGAGAAGCTCGTGAGGCACAGAAACCAATCTGGGATCGCCAGCTACAAGTCATGCCTCGCAACCGTGCCAAAGCGGAAGAGATGCCGACCAGATCGATCCGTCAAGCTCCCAAAGCACATACTGCCGCCACATTGTCCAACCACCCACTAGCAGTTGTTTGTCACCTGTGTGGTCGGCATTTCAGCTGCGCTTCGATTGCCATTCACCTGCCGCGTTGCCGAAAGATGTGGGAAGAGCGTGAACATACAAAGCTGCCAAAGGAGCGCCGAAAAGTTCCACAAGCTCCCGAAGGTCACGTTGGCAGCGAGGAATACAACCAACGCGCGAGAATAATCTACAAGGAAGAGAGTGCCGAAGCTTGCCCCAGGTGCGGTCGGAGACTCGCAGACGACAAGCAGTTCAGTTTGCATCTGGCCAGCTGCAAGATCAACAGTGTCGCAATGCTGGAAGACAAGGAGCAGGACCAGTTGCCAAGAGGTTGCCCGGTTTTGGTCACTTGCCACCTTTGCGGAAAAGACTTCGGCACCGCTAGCATTGATGCTAGGTTGCCAGAGAACAGTTTTTGATAGGGGCTAGCCTCTAGTGTCCTGAAGCTGAAGCACACGGGCGTTGCGCGACAGTCGCAATAAGAGAGCATCGGGCTTGCTAAGGACATTCATCGGCAGCAATGTACCCGAAAATGGTCACAGCGAGAGGCGAAAAAGCCAACTGATGAGAGGCGTCCACTTCCGCATCCTCCCGAAAGCAGCATCGGGATGTCGCAGGACTGGCACGAGCTGCATTTGCAATTGACTGCCTGCACGTGCAAGACAGGACGATTACAATCGAGCTGCCCTGAAGATCTTTCAGGGCTGCAACATGCTCAGCTGCAAGTTCTGCAGCCGGACATTCTGGGACGAGGAGAAGTTTGAGCAACACGTCCGAATCTGCGAAGATTTCGCTACTGAAGCTGCCCGAGCCCCGAGCACCCAAAGTCCTGGCCGGAGTCCTTCTCCTACCACCACACCGTCACCTAAGCACATCCCAAGCCTGCTCTGCCATATATGCGGGAAACAGTTCGGAACGGCGTCACTGGAAATCCACATGCGGCGGTGCGCCAAAAAATGGGAGCCTTTGCTGCAAGTATCGGCAAGTGATTTCCCAAACTCCAGCTGCTTACCGCTGTCTGGAGATGTGGTCATGCTCGTTGTTTGAAGGAGCAGAGACAGGCGGCAAAGCCAGCAGAGTTGAGACGTGCCCTACCTCAACGACCAGAGATGATGCCCGACATGACCCAGGACGAAGTGGGATCTGACCCTTGGGATTGTAGCCTGTCGCGGCGGTCGCAAGAGGAGATCTACGATTCCCTGATCAAGGCCTGTGTGTGCAATCCGTGCGGCTTCAATACTGTTGTGTTTCTACTTCTATGAGCTTTATCTGGGAAGATTTGGCTTGCGAACGCACGGGTGCTGCCACCATGAGGGGTGTCTCAAATAGCTATTCCGTAAGAAGCAAGAGGATACGTCGTGGATAAGTGTCGCGGAATAAAATTTGCTGGTGCATATTTTCAAGAGGACGGGGACGGAAGGGGTGCGGAATGATGGTCGAAACCGGGCATCTGGAAACCCGGGTCCGATGGGTTTATAGGATTTCTGGATTTGGGTTTGCAGGCTCAGGACGTTTTAGGGTTTAGGGTTTCTGGATTTGGGTTATTTTATGATTCAGGTTGCAGCGGGTTTGGGTTTCTAAGCTCAGGACGTTTTTGTTAGGGTTTCTGGATTTGAGTTTCCAGGGTTTAGGTTGCATGGGGTTTGGGTTTCTAGGCTCAGGACGTTTTGGGGTTTAGGGTTTCTGGATTTAAGTTTTTAGGCGGGGGTTTAGGGTTTCTGGGTTTGGGTTTCCAAGCTCAGGACGTTTTGGGATTCATGGATTTTGGGTCTTTTAGGGTTCAGTTTCTCGTGGGTTTAGGATTTCTGGATTTGGGTTTCTAGGCTTAGGACGTTTTAGGGTTTAGGGTTTCTGGATTTGGGTTTTTAGGGTTCAGGTTGCAGGGGGTTTGGGTTTCTGGATTTGGGCTTCTAGGCTCAGGACGTTTCGGGGTTTAGGGTTTCTGGATTTGGATTTTCGGTTTAGGGATCCTGGATTTGGGCTTCCAGGCTCAGGACATTTGGGGGGTTTAAGGTTTTTGGATTCGGGTTTCTAGGCTGAGGACGTTTTGAGGTTTAGGGTTTTTGAAGTTGGGGTCTTGGGGGTTCAGGGTGTAGGGGTTCTGGCATTGGCTTGGTTTCTAGGCTCAGGGCGTTTTAGGGTTTAGGGTTTCTGGATTTGGGTTTTTAGGGTTCAGGTTGCAGCGGGTTTGGGTTTCTAAGCTCAGGACGTTTTAGGGTTTAGGGTTTCTGGATTTGGGTTTTTAGGGCTCAGGTTGCAGCGGGTTTGGTTTTCTAAGCTCAGGACGTTTTGGGGTTTAGGGTTTCTGGATTTGAGTTTATAGGCGGGGGTTTAGGGTTTCGGGGTTTGGGTTTCCAAGCTCAGGGTGTTCTGGGGTTTATGGATGTGGGGTTTTAGGGTTCAGTTTCTGGGGAATTTAGGATTTCTGGATTTGGGTTTCTAGGCTTAGGACGTTTTAGGGTTTAGGGTTTCTGGATTTGGATTTAGGGTTCAGGTTGCAGCGGGTTTGGGTTTCTAAGCTCAGGACGTTTTGGGTTTTAGGGTTTCTGGATTTGAGTTTCCAGGGTTTAGGTTGCATGGGGTTTGGGTTTCTAAGCTCAGGACGTTTTTGGGTTTAGGGTTTCTGGATTTAAGTTTGTAGGCGGGGGTTTAGGGTTTCTGGGTTTGGGTTTCCAAGCTCAGGACGTTTTGGGGTTCATGGATTTTGGGTCTTTTAGGGTTCAGCCTCTGGTGGTTTAGGATTTCTGGATTTGGGTTTCTAGGCTTAGGACGTTTTAGGGTTTAGGGTTTCTGGATTTGGGTTTTTAGGGTTCAGGTTGCAGGGGGTTTGGGTTTCTGGATTTGGGCTTCTAGGCTCAGGACGTTTCGGGGTTTAGGGTTTCTGGATTTGGATTTTCGGTTTAGGGATCCTGGATTTGGGCTTCCAGGCTCAGGACATTTGGGGGGTTTAAGGTTTTTGGATTCGGGTTTCTAGGCTGAGGACGTTTTGAGGTTTAGGGTTTTTGAAGTTGGGGTCTTGGGGGTTCAGGGTGTAGGGGTTCTGGCATTGGCTTGGTTTCTAGGCTCAGGGCGTTTTAGGGTTTAGGGTTTCTGGATTTGGGTTTTTAGGGTTCAGGTTGCAGCGGGTTTGGGTTTCTAAGCTCAGGACGTTTTGGGGTTTAGGGCTTCTGGATTTGAGTTTGTAGGCGGTGGTTTGGGGTTTCGGGGTTTGGGTTTCCAAGCTCAGGGTGTTCTGGGGTTTATGGATGTGGGGTTTTAGGGTTCAGTTTCTGGGGAATTTAGGATTTCTGGATTTGGGTTTCTAGGCTTAGGACGTTTTAGGGTTTAGGGTTTCTGGATTTGGGTTTTTAGGGTTCAGGTTGCAGGGGGTTTGGGTTTCTGGATTTGGGCTTCTAGGCTCAGGACGTTTCGGGGTTTAGGGTTTCTGGATTTGGATTTTCGGTTTAGGGATCCTGGATTTGGGCTTCCAGGCTCAGGACATTTGGGGGGTTTAAGGTTTTTGGATTCGGTTTCTAGGCTGAGGACGTTTTGAGGTTTAGGGTTTTTGAAGTTGGGGTCTTGGGGGTTCAGGGTGTAGGGGTTCTGGCATTGGCTTGGTTTCTAGGCTCAGGGCGTTTTAGGGTTTAGGGTTTCTGGATTTGGGTTTTTAGGGTTCAGGTTGCAGCGGGTTTGGGTGTCTAAGCTCAAGACGTTTTAGGGTTTAGGGTTTCTGGATTTGGGTTTTTAGGGTTCAGGTTGCAGCGGGTTTGGGTTTCTAAGCTCAGGACGTTTTGGGGTTTAGGGTTTCTGGATTTGAGTTTGTAGGCGGTGGTTTGGGGTTTCGGGGTTTGGGTTTCCAAGCTCAGGGTGTTCTGGGGTTTATGGATGTGGGGTTTTAGGGTTCAGTTTCTGGGGAATTTAGGATTTCTGGATTTGGGTTTCTAGGCTTAGGACGTTTTAGGGTTTAGGGTTTCTGGATTTGGATTTTTAGGGTTCAGGTTGCAGGGGGTTTGGGTTTCTATTCTCAGGGTGTTTTGGTGTTTAGGGTTTCTGGGTTTGGGTTTCTAAGCTCAGGACGTTTTGGGGTTCATGGATTTTGTGCCTTTTAGGGTTCAGTTTCTGGTGGGTTTAGGATTTCTGGATTTGGGTTTCTAGGCTTAGGACGTTTTAGGGTTTAGGGTTTCTGGATTTGGGTTTTTAGGTTGCAGCGGGTTTGGGTTTCTAAGCTCAGGACGTTTTAGGGTTTAGGGTTTCTGGATTTCTTTCTTTAGGATTCAGGTTGCAGCGGGTTTGGGTTTCTAAGCTCAGGACGTTTTGGGTTTTAGGGTTTCTGGATTTGAGTTTTTAGGGTTCAGGTTGCAGGGGGCTTGGGTTTCTAAGCTCAGGACGTTTTAGGGTTTAGGGTTTCTGGATTTAAGTTTTTAGGCGGTGGTTTAGGGTGTCTGGGTTTGGGTTTCCAAGCTCAGGACGTTTTGGGGTTTATGGATTTGGGTCTTTAGGGTTCAGTTTCTGGTGGGTTTAGGATTTCTGGATTTAGGTTTCTAGGCTTAGGACGTTTTAGGGTTTAGGGTTTCTGGATTTGGGTTTCCAGCCTCGGGACATTCGGGGGTTTAGGGTTTCTGGATTCGGGTTTCTAGTTTAGGTCTAGGACGTTTCGGCATTCAGGGTTGCTGGATTTGAGTTTCTGGGTTTGTGACCTATAGGGTTTCGGGATTTCTGGATTTGGCTTTCTAGGTTTCGGGGTGTAGGGGGGTTAAGGTTTGTAGGTTCAGCACGTCTGGGGGTATAGGTATCTGCATTTGGGTTTCTAGGTTCAGGACATTTTGGGGTTTAGGGTTTGTGGATTTGGGTTTCTAGGTTCAGGGTGTGGGTGTTTAGGGTTTCTGGATTTGGGTTTCTAGGGTTCAGGGTGTAGGAGTTTCGGTTGTCTGGATCGTTGTTTCTAGGTTCAGGGTGCAGGCGTGTAGGGTTTCTGGACCAGGTGTATAGGGGTTCAGGATTTCTGGCAAAAGAGTTTCGAGATTCGGGGGCTTGATAAAGGATGTTGTACGAGGTTGGGGCCAGGGTTACATGTGTTTTCAGGGTCCGTGGGTAGGTGTTTACGTTTCTGGGTTTGGGTTTCTGGGTTCAGGACGTTTTGGGGTTTGGGGTTTCTGGATTTGGGTTTCCAGGTTCAGGGGGTAAGGGTTTAGGGTTTCTGGATTTGGGTTGCCTGGGTTTCTGGGCGCTTTCAGGGCTTGGGGTTTCTAGGTTCAGGGCTTATGGTTTGGGATTTAGGCTTAGGGTTTCCGGCAAAAGGGTTTCTAGGTTCAGGGTTTGGGGGTTTAGGGTTTCTGGGTTTCGGGTTTCTGGACGTGTCTGGGCAGGGTTTCGTTCAGGGCTTACAGTTTATGGTTTGGGGTTAAGGGTTTCTGATCAAAGGGCTTCTAGGTTCAGGTTGTAGGGTTTAGAGTATCCGGATTTGGGTTTCTAGGGTCCAGGGTGTAGGGGTTTAGGTTTCTGAGCTTGGAGTTTTGGCAAAGGGTTTCCAGGCTCGGGGTGTGGGGGTTTAGGATTTCCGGACGTTCTGGGCTTAGGGTTTCTAGGTTCATGGTTTCTGGGTTGGGGATTTCTGGGTCTAGTGTTTCTGAGCTTAGCGGTTGGGCGTTTGTGGCTTGGGTTTCTGGGTGTGGGGTTTCCCAATTCGGGGCAAAGCCCACCCTTTTGGGGCCCAGGGGTCCGAACCCGGGGTTGCATGCATCTCTTGGAAGAAGAACGCGCACCTTGAGTATTTATGGTTTCTTATCAAGGTCATCCCCCAGAAAACACCCCCATCTCGTACCCACGTCAATCAGCCTTTGGGGGGATTCGCAGAATTGCCATCTGCTCAAGAAGGTGTGGTGATCTGAATGCTCTGAGGCTCCATCTCTAGAGTTGGTCCACCAAACACAGGTGGCAGATCATGTCGCAATTTGGACTAATTGGCTTTTTCCGCGGAGTGCCGGTGTTTGGAGCTGAGATGTGCTTACTTTTGGCCGTGTCAACTGCTTGTGCAGGACATGGCGAAGACTGAGGGCATGGCAGCCGAAGCAGAGGAGGAGACCACCGCCGTGTTGGTAAATTGCTTGACCTTTGGCTCAACTCAACAAGGGGATCAGATACTTATTGTGTTGACGATCTTTATGCGTGTTGCCTGCCCTGTCTGGCTCCATCTTCAGGAAATGTGGTTCCACCATCGCAGGCGACCAGTTTCATTTGCATACCTGCCATCAAACAGAGGCGAACGGCTTGCTGTGAAAGTAGAATTGTGATTGCTGTAGCATGGGCGATCCCCATCAGAGATCTTTCGGGAGTGTGCTTCGGAACGTAAGTCATGCGAAAGCGGCTCCGCTTTCACAATGCTCAGCTGGGGGGAAGGAATATGAAGGAGTTTGGGCATCAGGTCGCCGCCCAGTCAACTGGTTGAAAACTCGCCCCATTCGTTCACTCAAGCATCCCGTGCTCTCTCCAGACCAGTGCTTCGATGAGACCACATCACCAGTTGGGTCTCGTTTGTGTCAGCTGCTGTTCTTTCTGAAAGCGGTCGTGTTGATTTGTGTTGGGCATTGGTTATCCTAGACGAAGGATACCGTGCATCGTAGAAGAAAGATTACTTTAAGCACGCACAGTACATGTGCAAAGGACGCGTAGCTGCAGCTTCTCCTAATGCAGGTTGCAACTGCTTAATCTGATTGACCATGGCGCCGGAGTTCGAATGGTCGGCGACCAAGCCATGCCTCTTCCGCTTACTTACAGAGAAACTATGCAATTCTATGTACCCGGTGCCGAAGGGGGCGACCTCGGAGACAGGATTGTCGGCGGACTCGCTTCTGGCACTCGTCGTTTCCGGAGCTGCTGAGCCTGCTCCCGTTCGTGGCGGTTGTGCCTGTGCATGATGTCACCCCGTCCTGGAGATCGAAGCTTCCACGGAAGTGGAACGATCCAGATCACCCTTTTTGCCCACGTGCAGTGGACAATGAGTGGCTGCCCCCAACCATCCTGCAAGCGCCGGTGGCCAACGTCTGCGCCATGGAGGAGTCAGCGAAGGAAGCCGCGGCAGGGAGGGAAGGGGCGAGTTGACGACACAGGTGCAGGCGAAGAGCTTGCGCTGACATTGAAAGTTGTATAACTGCACCCGAAACGCCTGTCGCACAGCGGGAATTTGCTGCAGAAGGGCAAGCCGGTTGCCCATCCGTATTGCACCTGCTTTGCAGGATCGGTGCCTTGCAGCCACGCCACGACGTTCGGAAGCGTTCCGAATGAACTCTTGCTGCAGGCAACGGCATTGCATTGTTCCAGCACACAGTCCAGACGAGAAAGCACGTTTCACAAACCTCGCAGCCAGCGGTCAAATGGCGCAGAGCCCTGAAATGACGATGAACTCAGGCCGAGTGTGCAGAGACAGTCGGACAAAAAAGCACAAGGGCGAACAAGCACGTGTTGTCATTGCTTTGCATGCATTTCCTGTGTATGACCATGTATTCCATGTCCCGAGGGGAGGGACGTGCAAGATCTGCCTAAGGTCCCTGAGGTGGCTTCGAGAGCATCCGCCACTTCCTGTTCCCGTTTTCGCCTTTGCATCCTTTGTGCTGATTAACAATCAACTGCACCTCTGATGTGAGGAAATCCCAGCACCAGATGTCACTGCTCTGGCCGCAACTGGAGGTCTGCCTGGCTGGGTAGCATGCGACAGTCCAGTGCGATATGGCGAGGCCTGAACGGCTTGAGCAAAGTCGGAGATCGAAGTGGCGATCCTCCGCCAGAGGACCGTTCGCCGGAATGCGTTAGTGGCATAATCTGCTTAGTTTGCAGGCTTCGGTTTCTCGGCTGGCATGGTCCGCCGCAGATGAGTGGCGCAGACTTGCTGAAGTTCGCAGTGAATTGGAAAGGCTGCAGCTACAGCATAGGATGTTATAGGGAGCCAGCGCTGCTAACAGCATGAGATTCCCGCCCACCACTAGTTTGCACACCCGCTCTACAAAATTGATGGGTGTTGCATTTTGATACTGAGACTAATGCAATAACTCAGCTGGCACTTGCGCAGCAGCTCCTCATAGCCTGAGCTTATCTTGTCGCCATCGAAAACGTGCAGGTGCCGGGATCAGCTGGCGGAGCATCAGGCGCACGCCCGATCACGCCCTTATTGTCGCTGTTGTTGTCGTTGTGCTTGTGATTGCTTGTGTTATTGCAGTGCCAGAGCTTTGTGGGTGAAGGCGGTCCTCTTGCACGTGGGTGATGCCATCCACACCGAGGTAGATCGCTTGCAGGACAGCTTGGCACTTCCTGCCGTGAGAGCAACCTACAGCGCGCCAAGCGTCATGGCGTGCAGAGGAGTGGGAGAGGAATGTCAAGATGAGGGAAGACGAGCTAGGCAGTCGTGGGTCTTCGTCCATGTCGACGTCGCTGCTCTTGCCTTTTCTTCTGTGCGTTGATGCGACTTATTCTGACAGGCGATGTTGAGAAGCAACTGGAAGGTGCATCCATACACGACAGAGAGTGGAACTGGAAGCCTTTTGCTCTAGATCTCGCCACGATGTGCAGGAATGCGATCGGAAATTCAAAAGCAATATCTGACGTGCCGAGCTCAGATTATCGCCTAAGCTTGACTGCGGGAGCTGGATACAGCCTTGAGGGCATGGCAACCCTTGATGCTTCACTGCAGGCAGAAGCGACTTCTTGAGACCATGTCTGCGAAGGACATGGCAACAAGCTGTTTCCGGTGTGGGCATAGTTACCCTTCGCTAGGGCGTGTCTGAGCTGATACAAGCGGTGCGCACCGGAAGACCAAGACGACCCACGACCATCACAACCACTAGGAAATCTCCAAGGAAACCATCAACGAAAGCATCACCGAAAACGCCCCAAGACCACCTGCACGCTTTGACGGGACACATGCTTACACCGGTGCCAAAGTCCAGCTGCAGGCCGGAGGGAAGCTCAACACTCCTGACCGATTCCTTTTTACTATGTCAGCGCAGAACAGTGACAGACGACCGACCACACATCAAACACCGGGGCCACGACGACCAGGACTAAGAAAGACCACCAGCCAGAAAGCCACCGGGACCACACCCGAATCCTTGATGTACTTGCGCGATTCGGTAGTCTACAGGTATCCTTACCAGAGGTCTTCCCCGGCTGGATTCAGAATATCCAGCATTATTTCCCCCTACGAGGTCAAGCAACATTCGATGTATTGGAACGTACAGTGGACTTCTTTGCTTTGCCCCCCACGCCACAGCACATACCCTAAACGTAAGAACTAGTAAGCACCCTAGAGTGTGTACCACTGTTTGGTGAACTTTGGGCAGAAGAACCCCAGCGTGCTACGCCTGATACAGCGAGATTTCGAAGCACCCAAGGAGTTTGGTTTCCGTTGTCTGCTCAGATGCTCCTGTCTCCTGGCGAGAGCAGGATGAAGCTCCTGCAAGTCCTCGACAGCTGGCTGCCTGACACCAAGTATAATAACAGATAGGTCGCTAGGCCGATGAGACTTGCCACATGCAGTTCATAGTGTCTGCTGTCCAGGCCGCATCCACGACGACACGCCCTTACCAGAGATATGCCCGAAGTCAGAGAGAAGAGAAGGAGGGTCATGATCCAGCCAGGCCGCGAAGTTCGGGTCGCAAGCCACTGAGCCCAAACCAAAAGAAGTCCAAGCGAGGTCCGGAGACTCATCCGAGGATAAATGAATCGGGCTCTGAGGCACAGGTCTCTCCGCGCTTTCTCCGGGCAGGGAGGCCAGGCACCCACATGGGCTCAGGGATAAGTCTGTACTTGGGCTGTGGCATTGTCGTCAGAGTCCAGGACACCGGCTGCGGTGCGGTGTGGTCATACACTGCAAAGCAGGAACGAACTTGTGGATCAAGTGATGTGCAGGTTGGCGACCGTGGTGGATTCAAAGACGGAGGCCTCAAATCTGAACCTCTGCTTACTTGCACGGTCGATGTTGGATTGCCAGTTGACTCGTCTCCCGCACCGGCATTACCTTGGGAGACGCGTTCACAGGTGTCGGTCTCAGCCATGAGGGAGTAGCAGCAGCGCAGTGGCAGCGCTCGAAGGGGAAGGCGAGTGCAGCGGGACAGCGACAGCCCTTGCAGGCCAGGCCAGCGAAGTTCGTGGGTTCAGTGAAATTCTTTCAACTTCGAGGGATTGAGAGCTTGAACTGTTTGCAATTTCTGAACTGGGCGGAACCCGAAAGCTTGGGCACGTCGAGATGCGCATGTCATCGAGGGTCAAGCTCCGAACCCTTTATGCACACTTTCGAGCTCAAGCTTCGAGGTTTCATAGTCAATCTCCAAACTCTGGCCGTGGCCGAATTCGAACGTCACTCAAAGCTCGAAAGTTTCTAATTTGACAAGCTCGAAGCTTGAACCCCTGCAAAGTGCAAAAATGAAGTTCGGCCGTGCTAGGTTGAAGGATCGAACGTTGAATGGCTTGACGCTTCGATCCACGTTCGCTTTGCGGGTCGCCGCTCAGGTCAAGAGACTGACAGATCGAAAGTCTTATTGCTTGAGCAGCATGATAGTTCGTGCTTGAATGCTTGGAAGTTTGAAGGCTTCCATCTTGCCTAAAAGCCTGACGGCCCGCTGAGATGCGAGAGTTCGATGGTCTGAAAGTTTGAAAGGGCTGGCGGACGCCTTCGGAGATGTAGATACAGCCATACAAAATCTCGTATCTCTCCTACCGCTCAAAACTCTAAACCTTAAACATGAACACCAACTCTGGCGAACCGTAACCCTTGAAACCCCACAAACCTTCCAAACGCCTTCGGTGCGCAGCCGAAATATGCGTAAGCCCCCAACCCCAAACCTCCGGCTTTTTCAGGGAGGGCACGGTTTGAGGTTCAGGATTTACATGTGAGTCTCCATATTTTTGCTTGTCCACTTATTTAAGTTTTGGGTTTGGGGCTTAGTATTGGATCCCCCGTGTTCTTACCTGTCCACGTACCCTAAATATGTTCGGGTCGTATTGTGAAAGAGGTGAAAGGTTATCATCTTGACATCTCATTAAGAAATTCGGGGTTTTCCACTGAAGCCACATATCTTGAAGCCAGAACCTTGAAAATTCGACCCTGGAGCCCAAAAACCTAAGCCTGAAAATCTTGGTTCGGCGGTGAACCCGGAAGTATCAGATCACCGTTCTTCCAAGTAGCGTTCATTGAGGGGCCCAGCACTCTAACCCTGCTTATTCCCAAGATTAAGAGACCCAAGCTCCAAGCCTTTACTCCAATTTGTGCCCCCTCTCAGCTCACACTTCCCAGCTTCTCAAACTCAGTCTCTCGAAGTTCCCACTTCGAGCCCGGATGAATCACGTGATTCCACCCACACCCGAAACCCGAAATTCGTTGCACGGCCCATGCTGTCGCACCTTCAATGTTCAACCTGATTCCCATTCATGACTCAGACTCTCAAACTCGTTCTCGGCTTCAATCTTGACATGTTCAAGCTCTCAAACTCCAGACGTTTCGTTCTCGGTGTTGGTCTATCCTTTAGGGACTTTAGGGTATCACAATGGCTACTCTTGGACTTTACTGCCTCTCAGTAATCAAACATCCGAATCGTTTTTTTCAACTTGCTCACATGGCAAGATGGAATTCGTGTGTCAGCCTTGTCAACGGCATGTTCGAGACACTTCCTAAGAAAGTCGAGCGCGGGGACTGCAAGATCTTAATCGTGCACGCTCTCCCGAGGGACGTGACGATTTTCTTCATTTCCCGGGCAATCGCGATCATCTCCCATCAGTTCGCTGGAAGGGGGACTGCAACAACGTCAGGTTCGTGCGGCCTGCACGGTGACCTCGCAAACCACACCCTAGGCTGGTACACCTCGCTGGAACCTGGGAATAAAACGGCTGCGATGCCCTGGCTGCTATGGCTATATCGTGTCCCAGTACTTATTCCTGTCATCGCTGTTACAACTGCTTGGCACTGTGCCGCCAATCCTGCCTTCCACTCCTCCTCTTCGCGTCTGCACTTGGGTCGACATTCGAAACCATACGTGCTAGCCCGACGTCCTCAAGCTTATGCAAGTTGACTGCCTTCACTCAACAGGCTAAAAAGCCCAAAGGTAAGGAGCCATCTAATGTATAAATGTGAACATACGAAAGCGAAAGTGCTCACCTTGCAGAATGCTTGACAAGTCATCAAGTTTCAGGCCCACGGTGTTGTTGCCGCAGACAGCCAATCGGCAAGGGTTCTGGCGAAAAGGGTGGGCCAGATTGAGGCAACGGACTGTTGGGTTTTGTAGGACCGGATAAGTCCCTGCGGAAAGGTTTGGTTTGACGAAGGCGGATTTGAAGATTAAGGTTGCCCTGTTAATTGTTTTCTGAGCGAAGCTTGCGGCATTGCGTTGTTAATGCATTGATGCATCCGGCACAGGCAAGTGCAGAGGAGGAGCTGATTTCGCTGCAACGGGGCATAGAGCAGAAGAAGTCGGAGCCCCAAGCCCTGAAGCTTCTAAAGAAGTTCAGAAGTTGCACTAGCTGCCGGCGTGTCACTTGCAGGCGTCAACTCCGAGTTCTGGAAGAGGTCCGTATGTGTATCCGTTGAAAGGCTGTGAACAGGGTTGCGACTCTGGCGACGCAGGAGGCTGGCAATGTGGCAAGGCCGCATTCTGTCAGGGCCCCTGTCCAGAAGTATTGCCGATCAGGACTTCTGGTGCTTCCGCATGAATGCTGTAATTTGCACATGAAGGTGTGTGACTGGCTGGCTGCAAAAAGAGATTGTGCGAGGCAGCCGCCAGCGGAACACCGCGAACACCGCGAGCTGTGAAGGGCGAGGCTTCTCCGCAGGAGAGGCTACATCCGATGTTGGAGGACAACCTGCACGTGCTAATCGGGAAGTACTGTCTGTGCTGCAGTTTGCAGAGCATGCGAGGGGCTGCTTCATGCGCTCAGGGTCGCCTCCTGTCTGGGCTAGCGCCGCCACCAGCCCCACCACCATTGGATGCTGTGACATCCCTACAGTGCACGTGTCGGCACCGATAAGGTACTTGCAGTTCATTTCTCAGGCACCTCCCCCGGTCTTCGGCGATGATGCGGGCCGTGCAAGAATCAGAAACCCGGCGCATCCTGGACAATGCGGAGGAATGCCGGGGCCTCATATAGAAAAGAAGGATAGGAGTTGTGTACCGATTCGCTGTAGAGGCCAGACCGCGGTTTTCCCACAAGAAGCACGGTGGAGGTGAAGCCCAAAGGCTGAGCCGTGAGATGTGATCACTGGCACCCTTGTGCGAGGCTGCTGTGGGTTCAGATCCTTTGCTGCCGGAGCCGCCCGCCTTGCTCTGAGACTTCCTAGCTCTCAACGAACCTGACCTGCCCCGCAATCTGCCGAATGCAGAGGTCTTTAGCTCTGACACGGCTGGACTCGGCGTCGGCCTTCTTCGAGCGCCAGGGTCCGAGGGACGTTGTCGCCAGGGCAGCGCAGCAGAACAGATCGTCGAGCACTCTGGTGCTCAAAGTTGTGCGGCCCAAGAATGTAGGCCTCCACCTCCACCTGCACCACCTCCCAGCATTGCTTTGGGAGGCCCAGTCGTCCAGACTTCGAAGCTTCTCAGATTCCGCTTGACATATCAATGCAGGCAGCCACTCCAGCGGACCCTCTGCGTCCCCGAAAGGCCGGCTGTTTCTTTTGGGGAAGAACAGCACGTCATCGAACATCGGGCAAGCCATAGGAGCAGATCGAGCGCGCGGCTCGATGCCGGCAGATTTCAAGAAGGAGGTCCCCTCGTTGCATTGAGGCAGCCTTGAGCCTCAGAGAAGCACTCAGTCATGCAGGTAGCTTCTCCGGTCGGAGCGGCTGGCATGGCGACTACCGAGGAACTCGGTCAGGCAAAGCTCCTTTGGAGGGTCTCTCTGTGCCTCTCCGTTTCTCTCTCAGGCCATGAAGCAGCTGTTCCATGCCTTTGCCAGTCGAGCCGTCCGTCCGCCACGTTTCGATGTTGTTTTACTCTGTTTCCTCCTCGACTCTCACGTTGCAGCCGTATTGCTTTGAGGCGGGGTCCGTGGCCAAGCCTGGGGGCGGCCGTGCCGGGCGTGTCGCACTGGGCCTCCAGGTGGTGCTGAGGGGTGTCAGTGCCCTTGGAATCGGTTCTATGAACACCATAGCCGTTGCGACTGTACGCTTTCTTCAGGCTCGCAGTATCTAGTTTGGGTCCAACTGAAGCAGACAATCCATTGCCTCCATGCCCAACCACGCATTTTTTCGAAGCATGTCTTGGACGGTTGACTTCTTGAATATGTAGCCGAAAGATCAGCCATGGGAGCAGATGCAAGCGAGCGATATTACGACAAGCTGTCAAAGGCAGCACGACTGAGATGGAAAGTTTGGGTTTTTGGATGAGGCTGCGTACAGCGCAGGGAAGACATGTAATGGAAGACCAGTCTTTCAGTATGGCACGGTTTCCCTTTAGACATCCGTGGCAGCATCACTGTGCCATCACTGTGCCCGACCCAAAGATATCACCCACTAACGTATGGAGAATTCAACGCAAAGAAGACCGTGCGTGTGAGCAGGATCGACCCAGGTTCTGATGTTAGACTTCCCTCAACTTTGTACATCGTCCACATCTAGGCAATATCAGCAACGTCGAGATTGTTCAGAAGTGCACGTGTGCACCTTGTGACAAGTAGAGCGAAACAGCTGAACTGTGACACGCCTGTTAGAGCAGCTGTGTCCTCTCGAGGTTTGCCTCTTTAGACAGCGACAGCTAGGTTCCTGTGCAGCCATGGCTGAGGGACGCAAGAAGTTGAACCCGTCAGTGATGGCGGCCCTCAAAGTCCTGTGCGAGGCCAAAGAGGATGACCTCATGGATGCCCTCGAGGAGTACCGGGTCGCACATAGAGCCCGCCTGTCAGCTTTGTTCGGACAGAGCGTGGCTGAAGGCCTGGACTCGTTCAAGCAGGTGGGAAATGAGGCTGCTTCCTTTGACCCGGCAGTCTTGGCGTCGGCCCTGTTCGGAGAGCTCCCCGACCTATCGGAGCCCGGACAGGACCCGTTAGCCAGTGGCTCTACTGAGGTGGAGCCGGCCCACACTTGGGGACCACCTGCCGATGAAGACCCTCCAGTCAGTGGTGTCCAGACAGTTCCTGCCGACTACATGGACGAGCTCCCCGCAGAGTTGGACTACAGCCAGTTCGACATGGCGGGCCAGTCGGCGTGTGCAGCTGACACTGGTGGCCTGTTCGGAGGCTGCCCTGCTCAACCAGCCCAAGGAGCCGTGTTCGCCGGCAAAGGCACGGTTCCAGGTCAGGTCTCCAAGAGCAAGAGCAAAGGAACCGTGCCGCCGCAGAAGGCTCCCCCTGTTAGGCCAGCCGATTGGAAGCCACCAGCCGGTTCGTCGAGCTCTGGGGCAGCCGCGTCCACCGATACCGAGGCTGCCAAGAAGGCTGGGACACCGAGCAGCAAGGGCACCGAGAAGGGTAAGGACAAGACCCGTCAGCACAACGAGCAGCCGCAGCCTAAGGCCACCGAGGACACCGACGCGCAGCCAAAACTCCCGTCAGGACCACCGCCTGGCTACTTTCCCGGCTACACTGGAGACCCACGTGGAGCTGCGGTGCCGGTGCCTACGGAGGGCAACTTGCCCCCGGGGGCGCCACTCGTGGCAGAAGACGGGCAACCCTTTAGTACAACACCGCCAAGCTACTGGGACCTTAGGTCCGCATGCAGGGTCCGGTGCCCAAAGTGTTTCAGCCACAACCTCAGGGGCTACAGACGTGCCCATAGCAGGCATCGTTGCCCCACTTGTACAAAAGCCGATGCCTAGGACCCTGTTAGTGCAAAAGAGGGGGCCCGTCAGAGCTGACGTTTTGTCTGGTCAGCGACCCAATGTGACGGTACCCCCCGCTCGTCAGAGCACCTAGCAAGCCAGCGACGTCGAGGTCCGACCTCCTTTTTCGCCAGGCGAGCCGCGCAAAAAGCTCCCGTCAGGGCAGAGCGCCGTTTGCGGTCGCCACAGCATGTGCAGTTTCCTGTTAGTTTTCGCCCTAGGTAAAGTGCAGCCACTCTCCCTGTCAGCTCCTGCCAGTGTGTGGTCTCGCCCCCTCCTCTGCTAGTTTTCTTGTAACGGTGTGCAGGAAAGTGTGTGCCAAGGGCAGTGCTTGTTAGGCTTTAATCGTGTCTGTGGGTGTGTGTGGGCGTGTGTGTGAAGAGATACAGTTGTCACACATGCTGGTCACGGCTTTTGCAAAACGCGTCTGATGCTTCCCTCCTGTTAGGAAACGTTAGTCCCAAACTAGCCACCCCACGGCAGCCGAGACTTTTCGAGCAGCCCTTAGTCAGCTACAGCCGTTGGGGCCCCTGAGTCATGTGGTCAGACGCCGTCAAGTCAGAACGACACACTTTTGCAAGCCTTACAGAGGTGTTGCTGCACAGAAAGCTCGTGCGGTTCTTGCCACAACTCCAGGCAGCTGGCATCAAGTCAGCTTATGACCTCGAGAGCCACCCGAGGTCCGCCCTCCGGGCGATTTTTGGGGATGTGGCCTTGGACGAGCTGCTAGCCCCGCCAGCTCGGCCTAGCAAAAAGTCCCGTCAGGACATACCGCAGGTGCTGCCCCGGACACGGGGTTCTTTGCAGAGGTTGGGCATCGAACCAGCCCCGTCAGGGTGCAATGCCGCTTCCCAGTTAGACCTCGACGAAGCCGACAGGCTTTTCCTGCAAGACCGTTGGGCTGCTACTTCCCAAGCTCCTAGAGAAAGCCGTTGGAACACCTGGACTCGCTTATCCGAGCGCAGAGGATTCCCTGGCATCCCTGTGTCCCGTCAGTCCCTCTTTGCAGTCGGGGCCCTTTTGAAGGCCGGCGGCTACCGTTCAGCTTCGCAATACATCTCGGTAGCGAAGCAGAAGCATAAGGAGGCGGGTTTCGTGTGGAGCCCTGACCTTGACGAAGCACGTGCACAGGCTCTTCGCAGCATAAACCGGGGCCTTGGCCCGGCAACCCCGAAGCTGGACCTCCGGTTAGAGAACGCAGGGCCCCGCTTTCCACAGGAAGTTAGAATGGCCTTCGATGAGCTTCGCGTGCCCCAGTCAGACAGACTGAGGTTCGCTGCACAAGCATGCATTACAGCTTGCTGGCTCATGCTCCGAGGAATTGAGCTCGCCAACGTCCAGGCCAGAGACGTCACTTTCAACCGAGCAGCCCGCACAGTCAAGCTGCAGCTCCCAGTTAGCAAGACGGACACTGAGGCTAAAGGATGCTACCGAATGCACCGGTGCATTTGCAACCCCAGGCACTCGTCAGATTGCAAGCAAACCACACCGCCAGAGTTGTTTGGGACAGCCTTTCAGAAGTGTCTGTGCGACGAAGGCATGCACGTATTGTGCGTGTACCATGCCCTTCTCCAGGTAGTCGTGCAGTTACGCCGCGAGAAGACCTGGCAGCCAGACACGCACCTTTTCACAGTCCGGTCAGCTGAGGTGGCCACCAAGGCACAGGTGGTCTTCCTGGCGAGGGCGTGCGCCTTTGTGCTGCAGCAAGAGCAGCTGGACCAGTGGGGGCATGATGCAGTGTGCCGCTGGTCGCAACACGTGTTCCGGGTAGCTGGCGCCCAGTTGTTTGCCAGATCTGTCCTTGATGTCACATATATTCAACTGCTAGGGCGCTGGGGGGGCACTTCGGTGCTCCGCTATGTTCAGGAGGCCGCCGTCATGCTGCCGGAAAAGGCGTCGGAAGCGGTGAGCTTGCATGTTAGCAACCCTTCCCTGTCCCTGGTACCCGACAGTAACAGTAGTACCCCCGGTCAGCCAGTACGACAAGGCCTTGTTCAGGACCTAGTGAGAGAAGCCGTTCAGTCAGCCCTGAGAGGTTCCCAGCTTTTGGTCCATAACACCCGTTCGAAGTTGTGCCACCTTCCCTCCCCCAGTGAGAGCCGACTTCCTAGCGAGTCGTGGGTCACGTTGTGCGGGAAATGGTGGTATGGCACCAGCTCCACTAGAAGGAATCTGTCTTTGCTCGAAGGGTACACTAAGTGCTCCCTTTGTTTCCCGTCAGCTCAGGATCGTGATCGCCCGGCAGCCTCCAGTGTTCAAGCTAGAGAAGTAGAGTCGGGCACTGATTCAGACTCCTCTCAGGAGCACAATGCCGTCAGCTCTAGCTCTTCCAGACCTTGATGATGTTGCATCCAGAGCAGGTTTTGATACCGAGATCATTGCCTTCCTGTCAGCTAAAGGTATTACCAATGCAGGTTTGTTCCTGCATTACTTCACAGATCACACAAAGATTGCCCCGTTCTTTGAACCGTTGCGTGCAGGCTTTGACCTGGCAGGCAGTACTGTCAAGAGGACAGAGGACGAGAGGCTCATCTTGGAAGCAGCTACTCTGGTAGTGCTCGATGAGCTTACCGTGCGACGCACCCAGATGCTTTCAGCATCTGCCCCGAGTGCCCCGACAGCCCCGTCAGGACCCACTGCAACGTCAGCTTCGGACTCAGACAAGGTACCGAAAACTCTTCCTAAGAACTACTGGTCCGAGTACGTCAGAGAGTTCGAGGCAGTGGTCTTGTTAGGCCGCAACCGAGAGTTCCCGGCCCACTTGTTGTTGGGGGCCGAGGAAGTGCTAGCAAGGATGGTGCATCAGCACCAGGTTTCCAAACAGTACTCTCCTGTTCGGCTCGGGGAAATAATCTCCCTACGCCACTTCACACCTAGCAAAGCTGCCAACCCGTTCGCTCCCAAGGATGACAGCCGCACTAAGATGATCCTGGACGACTCAGGTACCTTCACCAAGGCTATGCATCATGTGCCGGAACCCCAAAAGCTCGTTACCTTGTTAGACGCAGTTGATGCCATCAAATGGGCTCTCATGTTCGCCCGTTGGTGTGACGAACATGACGCCAGTTCGTGGGCAGAGTTCTGGCAGAACCTTTGCAGGGATTACCCCAACAAGTACCCTCAGATCAGAGCGTTCTTTGACAAAGCTTTCTTGCACGTTAGCCTGCAGATGAGAGCCAACAAGTCCTTTCATGAGGCGGCCGCCGAGGTCATGGCGTGGCCCAAACAGGACGAGCTGAACCGTCCAGCCCCGTTCGACGGCTCAGAGCCCCGAAAAGGAAAGAGCGACCAAGGCCCGAAAGGTTACTCCAAGGGCACGAAGGGTAAGACGTTTGACAAAGGCTTTGACAACGGTAAGGGTAAGTATGCCGCTCAGC